TATTAGCTATTCCTTGATACTTCTTGCCAATTAAGTCATACTTGAATTGTTCTTGCCTATGTGATGTGAATGTCTAAAAATGCCAAAGGACTCATCCATTTATTTCCAGAATTTGCAAAAACCACAAACTTCTCTGCAGAAAGTTCGGCTCCCACAGGAATTCACATAATTCTGTGGTATACCATTAACTTGAAATGGCCCCAACCACTTTCTTAAAATGCCATGATGTGATCTATATTTGTGGTAACCTTCTACTTGAAGTATGGGTACAGTAAGAAATATAAATATATACTTAATAATAACTTGCTAGCTTGAAATTGAGTGCTTTGCATATGTGACACTGGATATATGAAGGAGTTCTGATTTTTGTGCAAGGAAAAAAAAGTCTTAAGTGCATTATTTCAGGTAGCTAGATAATGTCAGATTTTAGTAACATAAATTTCAACTTAGAGATATACAATAAATCATATAGCATTCTGATTTTTGAGTTTATTACTTGGGCAATGGAGAAAAAGTTTTGATTGTGAGATCAAAATATATCTAAGGGACATTGTATAAGAAAATTCCCCAGGAAATCATTTAATGGCCACTAGTAATGACACTGCGTATGTGGACATAAAGTATGAAAGGGTCCAGAACAACAGCAAGTGTTCATTCTGTATTATGAGTTTTTTTCTAACTTGGAATCCTAAAGCCTGTTTTTTTCTTTTCAGTTATTTCCTATAATATGACATTTAAAAACTTACCCTCATAGTTAATTTCCAATATATACGATGCATGACCTCCTCCTAACTTTGCAGTGTTCAATTTGAGGTTTCTGGGTAAGGACATCAGTATGGCTGACATGTTGCTTTCAAGAGTTAAATAGCACCCACCATCATCAAAGGCAGCTTGATTATTTTCAAAGAAGGAGGGATTACTAAAGACAAATATCTCTTTTAATTTAAAAGATAATTTCTACTTTTTTGTGATTATGATAGTTTAGGCTGCAATATTATCCCTTTACTTTCAAATTGGTTTTGCTAAGTTAAAAATGGTGCTTTGTTTCTTCAGGTAGCAATGACTGGGCAAAGTGCTTGAAACCTGTGCTTTTTTTGTTTGAGTTTTATACAGTAATGTTTGCCATCATCCTACCCTCTGGGCAGATAATTGCCAACCATGCTCTTGTTGTCTAATCTCTATATTTTAAAATATGCTGCCTCTTATATGCAAATAAACCATCCTAATTTTTTAAAGAATAACTTGCTGGATTTTAATTTGTATGAAGAAATATAATGAACTTTCCATGACTTCTAAAATATTTCTTAGATTTTGGCCATTTATTGTACGGTAATAGCAAAAACTTTAGCTACCTATTTTGGGATCTTGCCTTCAAAATTACAGGAGTTTGGGGTCTCCCTGGTGGCGCAAGGGGTTAAGACACAACCTATGAAGCTACCCACAGCCACTGCAGCATGAGTTTGATTCCTGGCCAGAAAACTACCCACATGGCATGGCAGACCTCTCCCAACTCGCCTGCTGCTCCCCTCAGCAGTGTATTTCAGTCAATCTGCCTATTCTGTTCCCCACTCTGTCTCTGGTGAATCCTCACCCCCCCACTCCCCCCCACACACCTCTGGCCTGTACCTTAGTTCTTGTATGCATAAATAAATAAATCTTAAAAAAATTACTGGAGTTTCTGACTTTTACTTATTACTTCATTTTTTTATTTTACAACCCCCATAAATATGTTTGGTATTTATGTTCATTGTCTCTACTCATTTTTTATGTGTGGAATACAAATAATTTAGTTATTCCAGAAAGCAATTAAACTATTCTTCATTTGTTTTTGCTATTTTGTGAGCATTTTAATACCATTTTATCAATTAAGTATTTTTCTTCTTATACCACATTATAGTATTGACAATTATTATGTTTTACTATAAAGCATACATCAATAATTTAGGCTACTCTAACTAATTCAAAGTCCCTATTCAAAAAGTTCACTCTTTGCTTCAGATTATTTTTCAAAATAGACAAAACAGCTTTCCTAGAACTATATGGCTTTTGTACCAAACTACTAAACATATGACATATAACATACTCATAAAACTTTCTGTCTATGCTAATATGGCTTTACTATTCATGTATCTTCTCAATAACTTACTCTTCTTAGAAACACTTTCTAAAAAGAGGCACATATTGGAAATATTTATTTTCATTTGAGAAATTTCCCCAAGATCCACTTAAAGAACATTAACTACTCATATTTCAGTAAGTAGACCCAAAAGATTATAATTTGTATGAAGAATTAAGGTGAGTTTTTTCATGACTTCTAAAATATTTCTTAGATTCTGGCCATTTATTATATGGTAACAACAGCTAGCCTCAAAAGACTGCTCATTTTCCAAGACTAGAGAAACTCTTACCTCCAAACCCTTACCTCATTGTGCCCCCCATCCTAAATTATCATGAACTCTACTCAATCCGTATAAATTCACTAAAAAGACCATCTTAATTTAATCACTTTGAAATCCTTATAAATATCATAGCTGTTCTCTTCCCAAAAGTTACTAAAATAACTTCCAACATGTTATTCAAAGTCACAATATTCTTTATTCCAATAAGCAATAAACTGAGCTTTGCTTAAGCAAGAAGTTATTTTTAGGAAGCATGATAAATTAAACAGATAGATTGATAGGCAGATGATAGACAGAGAGAATGATAAGAAAGAGAGATAGATATAGATGATAGATTAGACAGATAGACGACTGATAAATAGATATGCAGGTATACATGTTCATAAAGGTAGCGTTTCTGACAAAACATCAGATATTGCTAGAACACAGAGCATTTTACAATGGAGCAGGAGTTGGGCCAAATCCACCCTACCCCATTACATTGTTTATGGCTCCTTTGGTACCACAGCAGCTGAGTTGACACAGTATGGCCCAACAAGCCTAAATGGATAATCTGAATATTTACTGATAAATTTTTCACTACTGCTTTATAGAAAGTGATTTAACCTGTTTTCATGTCAGTGGAAAATGATAACTAAAACTTCCATTACTTGGTCCACTTTCATAGTCATTACAAATGTTCATATTTCAATTTACCCACAGTGAAATCTCCAGGGTTTTGCTAACCTTGTATCAAAGTAGAGAGTAGGCCAAATGGTAGGGCATTTAGTGAATTAATGTGTAACTTATGTTTAGAAATGCACTTCTTGTTTATTAGATATACATTGTACAGAAAACAGACTGAAATTAATATTGTTTTCTGTATGTTTTATGATAAAATTTCCCACTGGAGTCATCAATAATAGTATAACCTTCTTTTAAGGCAAGTGAAGATATTAAGAAATTTTATTAGTCTGTAACCCATTCATTTTACTTCCTAAGATTTATGAATGGGGAGATATAGATAAATTCCCTCTATTTATGCCATTTGCAAATCAAGTATAAATGAAAGTCTTTCTTTTTTCATAGTTGAGTGTATAAGAGGGCCTCCCTGGTGGCGCAGGGGTTAAAGTCTCAGTGCTATCAAGCTATAGTCAGCCACTGAGGCATAAATTCAATCCCTGGCCAGGAAGCTAACCCACATGGCACAGCAGACCTCTCCTGTCTCACCTGCTGCTCCCCTCAGCAGTGTATTTCAGAAGATCTGCCTGTTCTGCTCCCCACTCTGTTTCTGGTGAATCCTCTCACCACCACCACCACCCCCGCCCAGCATCTCTAGGCTACACCCCAATTCTTGCATGTATAAATAAATAAAAGTAAATTTTTTTTTTTAAAAAGGGTTTATAAGAGCTCAGATTCATTCTGGTGACAGGATATAAGACTGACAGATCAAGGTATGGTGCTACCTTGGTGAAAGAACTTGTCAGGTTCTATAGTAGAATATGAAAGTGAAATTTCTAGAACTATATTATTATACAAATAAATATTCACTGGTCCCAAGTCCAAACTGTTTTTCTTTTCCCACCTGAGTAAAAAATGATTTGATAAAAACTTCACAGATTTGGAGTATAAACAATGATATTGAATTAGTATGTCACTTCTTTAATGACCAACCATTGTACTGTTTCATAATCCTAGACAAAAAGCCACAGAGATGGTCATCTCCACTTTACTAAGAATTTCTGCTGTTCATAGTACTTCTTCCTAGGAAGTTCTATCTTATTAAACAATTAGCTACCCAGGTTGCCTTTTCTATGTGCTTACTAAGCAAGCCCTCTCTGGTTGAATTGGGAATCTAGTGAATAACTCCCATCTCACTCCTGCTTTAGGTAAGAGATAGAGCAACCTTGCAGTGCCTGCTTTCAGGCTGGAATTCAAACATATAACTAAACCTTTATAATGAAATACTACCTTTTTAGGGTTATCCTCCCTGTGAGTTTAAACAGTACATTTCCCTGAAAATAGTCTGTTTTCTAGAATTATAGACTACTAAAGAATAAGATTAAAATATTTTAAAGTCCTTAGAAAACATAGAGCTTAATGCTCTGAGCACAAAACTTTTTTCATTAAGTGAATATACAGATATTCTGGGCCTCCCCTGGTGGCGCAGCAGTTGAACACTGGGCTGAGAAGCTGCCCGCAGCCTCTGCAGCGCTGGTTCGATCCCCGACCGCTGGAGAGGGTCCCACATCGCGTGTAGACCTCTCCTACCGTGCCCACTGCTCCCCTCAGCAGTGTATTTCCTCAGTCTGCCTGTTCTGTTCCCCGTTCTGGCTCTGGTGGGTTCTCTCACCCTCTTGCGCTTCTGACTGTACCCAGTGCTTGTATAAATAAATAAATAAATAAATAAATAAATAAATAAATAAATAAATAAATAAATAAATAAATAAATAAATCTTTAAAAAAAATACAGATATTCTAATTCTGAACAAGTGATGCACATTTACTTTAATAAATATATATTATGTATCTGAGCAGTGCAAAACCATCTCTTTCCTCTGTGCATTAGCAGTGAAATTAGGGATTGAATCAAAGACTGAAAAAATTCTCCAGAGTACTTACCCATTGTGGGGTTGTCAGATTTTTTGATCTCCACATTATATCCACATTTCTACAGGGTCTGGTAATCTGAGCTGCAGTCTGAGATAAGTACCAGTAGGTGGCAGTGTTGTTCCCAGGGCCACCAGGTTCTACAGAAAGATCCTTTTCCATGGAGGTATGCCAGGCATTAGCGGACCCAAGCACATGTCTGGGAAAACATCCTGTTTGTCAACACAAAGGAAATGATAGATCAATCAAACAAGCATGAGTAACACAAAACACTATACTCAGAAAGTAAAATACATTATTATTTTTTTTAATTATTTATTTATACAAGCACTGGGGTATAGTCAGAAGCGCGGGAGGGTGAGAGAATTCACCAGAGCCAGAGCGGGGAGCAGAGCAGGCAGAAGGACCGAAGTACACTGCTGAGGGGAGCAGCGGGCGGCAGGAGAGGTCTGCGCGGCCATGTGGGACCCTCACCCAGAGGCCGGGGATTGAACCGGCGCTGCAGAGGCTGCGGGCAGCTGCGCAACCCAGCGCTCAACTGCTGTGCCACCAGGAAGGCCTATAAAATGCATTATTGAAAGATGAAAAATCCATCTTCAAAGTTTTTGTTTTCTTCTCATGAGTTTTTGGTTTTTTTTTAATTTTTTTTTTAATATCATTGTTCATTTTTAAACAATATTTACTGCCCCCACCCCTTCAGGTGTAGTCCCCATAGAATTTCCTTCACCGATGTGTTTAAATTGCTGACTTCATTTTAAGGCTCTTTATAGGCATTTCAGTCACAGAATTAGGCCTGACAGAGCCTTTAGGAGACCTAAATCCTAAGTAGACATCTAATGTTGCATTGGTGTTCAGAAACTTGGAAGTAATCCTTTAAGATTTATCATAAAACCATTGAATGTATAACCCTTATTGAAGAGAGGTTTCTTAAAGGCAAAGTCAATTTACATTTAAGGTCCAGATACTGGGACTCCCCATTACTGTAGCTCTTCAGGAGGCTCCCTCCTACAAACTCTGGACCAGAGGGTGCCCCTCTTCCTCCCTGTGCCAGGGAGCTGACAAATAAACAGAAAAGTCACTGGTTCTCAGCTTCTCCAGATGGCCCCAGGAACCCCTCCCACTCAAGGAGACTGGATGCCAATCTAATTGGGATATTCTCTCTCTCTGATATGGTCAAGATAAGAAATGATTAGAAGACAAGAAATGATTAAAGAAATGGTAGAAGACAGAAATGATTCAGAAATATTTAGTCTTACATTAGTTAACTTAATGAACTTACTCCAGCATGAACCAATGTGGGTGGATTATAGACTGTTTGGAATAGAATCTATTTACCTATGTAGCCCCAAAATGTTTATCTATAATTTCTGTATTTATATTAAGCTTGTGGCAGTATACACACCTTAATTAACAGATATTCAATTAAGAATACATTAGAATCCTTGCTCCTGAAAGTTTGCTTTTAAGCTAAATGCTATTTCTGCACTAAATGAGCTTCCTTTCTTGCCCATTTGAATGTATTTTAATATTTTAAATGAACATAAACGAACATAAAAGATTTTAAATGATTAAACAGTGACTGCCCCATAGAGTGAGAAGAAATTTATTCAAGTTAAGAACTCTATGGAAAATTCATAAAATACAAGTTCTAAAATTAAAAGAGAAATAACTAGCTTTGGCTATATGTTCCAAGAATTATGAATTAAGTTAGATCTTAAAGAAAAGTTTCTGTTATGATAAGTGCTTGAGTTCATTCATCCTTTTTTTTTTTTAAGCTTAAGGCCTCTAATAGCCCTAGATTTTGAGCTTATATTTTATAATATTCCCATTTTTCAGCTGAGGATTTTTTAAGGAGAATGTTTGAATAACACACGCAAAGATACCCAGTTAGTATTTTGGCAAAGCCAGAAAAAATAGAACCAATTAACCTGGGTTTCTGCAGCATATTAACCTGGATCATGCATCCTTGGAAGTTTAATTCAACACTGTCATATTTCTACTCCGACATTTCACATGGAAAAAAAGTAAAAATTTAGTATGTACACACATTTTAGAATCTTTCAAAGTAAATGAAATATTTATAATGATTCAAACCGAATTCCAATGCAGGAAAGTGTTCTCTTAGTGTGGGTATATTCGTTACAGTAAATGAGGTGATGACCAAGATAGCCAAAGGCCACACAAGATGATAAAAGTCAGAGCTGGTTGCATTTCCACTTGGACTGGCCAGCTCTAAGAAGCATCTAGTGCAGAAGAAAGTAGGAAGGACAAGTGGGAGAGTGGGAGATTGATTCTTGGTTTTAATACACTTATTGGCTGCAGCAGCAAATCTGCTATAAAGGCAGCTGCTCACCTTCCTTCTTGGCTGGAAAGAGGCTTATAGCAAATTATTGTAAGTGTAATGCAGGAGAAACATCAGGAGTTAAAGAGTAGGCAAAAGATGTCATCTGGATAACAAAAAAAGAAGGAAAGTTCCTCTTAAAAAGAAATATTTTGAAAATATTTATTTTTGTTTTACACTAATTTTCTCTTTATATGAAAATGAGTAAAATGACTATTTTCCATGATTAAGATTTCTGAATAGTCCTTGAAAGAGGTTATCTCCTCTGAGAATGCTATTTATGTTTCTGATATTTTCATATTTTTTCCAATTTGATTATAAAATATTAGCCTTCTATTATTTTACCAAGTGATTCAAAATACTAAATCATGCATATAATGATGATCACATTAATCTTTAAACTGATAGCATAAAAGACAGAACACTACATTTATTACTTCTATTGAAAATTCCCAGTTGATCAAAGATGTAAAAAATTAAAGTTTGTCATTTCTTCACTTTTTAAGTTTAGAAAATCCCACAAAAATGCACCCCATAATTATATTTCCAATTTTGCTTCATAACAGCTTTATTCATTTTATATTAGAAGATTAGCAAATACAAATGTGATGTATATTTCAGCAGGAAGTAGAGATTATTTCCTGTGAGCTAGAACAAGTAGCAATGTATGGATAACTATATTATATTGCTTCTACAAATAAAAAACTTCTTTCATGCACCATCAAAATAGTATTGCTTTCTTTAGTTTTATATAAAAGTCTTACTTGGAATAATTTATATTCATTGTTTAAGACGAGAGGACCTGTTATTTATTTTAAAATATCTAGTTTTGCTTGTTACAAAAAGAGACTGCTGCACGGATAATGGTTGAATACTTTGCTCATTTTTCTACTGAACATAACCCTAGGGAAGAACTGCTAAAGGTCTGTATGAAACAGGAAGGAGTTGTTCTAACAAAGTTCTTGTATTCATAATTGGGAAATCTGTTAAAGCTGCTGTCAAATTTCTTAATTGATATGGACATTTGATTGGGTCCTGGGTGGAGTCATTTTCCCTGTGAGCTGTCTTAAAGAAATTCTTAAGTAAAAAATAGCACAAAATCAGGAATGGAAGAGAAGCATATAGAAGCAATCAGGTGGTGTCTTTGACGCAGAGTGTATCGATATATAAGAATTTGGTTGATAAAAGAGAATCAGCACAGGTGAGTTAAAAAAAAAATCTAGTGAAAGTAAATTCTACTTTGTAAAGTATTTGAACTTAAACAATAATGTGTGGCTAAGCATAAATTGGTGACATTGCCTTCCAGATTTCTTAGTCACATTGCTGTGCAAACTTGGATTTACATGACAATTGATGATTCTCTGCCAGAAAATTGGTGTCTTTATTGGTGTACAGACCCTGTGGGTTCATATTCTTTCAACTAAGCCTGAGCCAATGACATAAGTGTGATATGTGAAAGCACTTCAACCCTACAGATTGATTCCACTTATTTCCTTTCAGGAGAATACTAACCTTCTTGATCCTCAGGGGAGGGGTCATTTATGGGTGTGTTAAACTATATGAGCTTGGGAAAGGCAAGAAGAAAAGATATTTAGTAAAATTTAAAAAGGCCATTGTAAAGCAATGATTTTTCAAAAGAAATACCTGGGCAGATTACTATAGCAGAATCACAAACAAGGTGATGTGATTTAACACTAGTTTACAAAATGTGTCATGGAAAAAATAGAGTGCTATAACTCCAGGGATCAAGCCCACATTTTGCATGCTTTCAGAACTCATAGATCTTCTGTTTGTGGGTTTCCTGGCTCCTGTGTAAGATGTCAGAGGAGAGTGGCAGTCATATTATCTTTGAGGAAATTTAGTTATAGGGACAGGATAGATAAATGGACCATAGCTGGGTTTATTCATCTTTGTAACCATGTGCTAAAGGAGGATTCAGTATCAGTGGTTGACTTATTTATTCCCCAACAGAAAAGGTGCTTTAGCTGCAGATTTCACATTTAGAAGAAACATGATCCTTTGGAAAATTTGCCACCAATTACTTAGGCTCCAGTTTCCATCTATCAACTGAATGATGTGTCCATCCTTATAATAATGTACTGCTACTCTAGTCAAATACTTGGCAGTTTTGCAATCTCATGACCTTTTAAATCCTGAAAATAAAGCTGCAACATTCTTACTTTGTTAGCTCTTAAATCCCCAAATTTCTATGTGCCAAATAGTTATGGCTAATATTTATCAAAGAAGGTATTGTTGTGATGAATTAGTATTTGATATTTTTTTCTTTCTTAGTATTGTAATCAGTCTTCTTAAAAAAGGATTCTAGTGGTAGGGGCCCAATGGACCTCTGTAGAGGATTCTAGATGTTTGGATGATGGGTATGGTGTATAAAAAACATACAAAGAGGTGTAAACCTATACCCCTAAATCATATGCAATATTGTAGACCACTTTTACCTTAATAAAAATTATACAATTAAGAAAAAATTCAAATAGACCCTCTGTGGCTGAAAAAGATCAGGATGTCTTCCCCTCCAAGAAGCAACTAGAAAGCTGAACAAAATTGACCAGAACATCTATTTCAGTACTTTAGAAATTGACCAAAAGGTTTATATAGTTTTTAGAGGTACTGATTCTTAAAACTTGAACTTGTGATAAGAACAGTGGGAACTTAGGACATTCAGGCCTTGAGCTGCTCCCATTGAAAGCTGTGAGGGCTGGCAGATTTTCTTCAATGGTTAAAGGGCTTTTCCTAGATTGGGAGCACTAGGTAACAACACCCACTTCCAGTAATGTTGTTGATGGATGGGGAGAGCCAACAGCTCTTCTGTGGAGATAAACAGTCTTTGTCCAAAAGGACCAGGTAATAGAT